TGGGCGCGTTGAGCGCTGAACCACTTGGCCAACATGTCACAAACCAGTGCTAACCTGGAAATCAGTCCGGGTTTCCAAGCCAACACGGCGGCCCTTCTACTTTGGACCGGGGTTCACGACTCGCGCCCGCGCGCGCGTGGGCGCGTTGTGCGCTGGGCCACTTGGCTGACATGCTGGAAGCCACCGCAAAAGGGCTACTTGAATTTGCAAGCCAACATGGCGGCCCTTCTACTGCGGGTAGCGCAAACAAATCACAACTCGCGCGCGCGCGCGGGCGCGCGCGCGAGGCGCCTTGTACGCTGGGCAACTTGGCCGACATGCTACAAACCCGTGTTAAATATGGAAACATACCATCGGCCACCGCTAAGGGGCCACTTGAGTCCTCAGGCCAACGTGGCGGCATGCATATTGCGGGGAACACAGGGTTCACAGCTCGCGCCTGCGCGCGCAAGCGTGGGCGCTCTGCACGCCGCACAACTTAATCGGCATGCTACGACCTTTTGCTAGCTTGGAAATCCGTCGGTTACTGCTAAGGGGTCACTGAAGTTTCTATGCAAACATGGCGGCCATCCCATTGCTGGTGATGCAGAATTCACAGCTCGCGCGCGATCGCAAGCGGGCGCGCGCGTGGGCCCGTTGTACGCGTAACCACTTAACCAAAATGCTACAAACTCGAGCTAACTCGGACATTCAATCGGTCACCGCTAATGGGCCGCTTGATTTCCCAGGCCAGCATGGCGGCCCTGCTATTGCGGGTAGAACTCACAGCTCGCGCGCGCGCGCGGGCGCGCTGTGCGCTGAGACACTTGGCCGACGTGCTAGAAGCCCATGTTAAATTGGAAAAAGAAATCGGCCACCACTAAGGGGCTGCTTGAACTCCCAAGCCACCATGGCGGCCCTTCTGTTCTGGATAACGCAGAGTGGCGGCTCGCTCCCGCGCGCGCGGGCGACTTGTGCGCTGAGCCACTTGGCCGACATGCTACATCCCCATGTCAATTTGACAATCCAGTCGGTCACCGCTGGGGGGCCACTTTAGTTTCCAGGACAGCACGACTGCCCTTCTTTTGTGGATGACGCAGAATTCACAGCTCGCGCCCGCGCGCGCGCGCGTGGGCGCGTTGCGCGCTGAGCCACTTCGCCGACGCGCTACAAACCCATGGCCAATCGGAAATCCAATCGGTCTCCGCTAGGGGACCACTTGAGCTCCCATGCCAACATTGCGGCCCTTCTATTATAAATGATACAGAATTCACAGCTCGCGCCGGCGCGCGCGCGCGGGCGCGTTGCGCGCTGAGCCACTTGGCTGGCGCGCTGCAGCCCCGCGCTACCTGGAACACCCATTCGGTCACCGCCCAACAACCCCTTCGTTTCCAGGCCCCTTCGTTGCCAGACCGCTGAGAACAATGCAGAATTCACACCTCGCGCGCACGCGCGTGGGCGCGTTGTACGCTCGTCCTCCTCCTCCTCCTTTCCTCCTTCTCCTCCTCCTCATCCTCCCTCCTCCTTCTCCTCCTCCTCCTCCTCTTCTTCCTCCTCCTCCCCCCAAAAGCTTGCGCAGTCAATGTCATCATACTTCTGCTCGCCCCCCTCCTGCTACTCCCGTCGCTCCTCCCTTCTTCCTTTTAGTCCTCGTCCTCCTCGTGTTCCTCCCCCACCTCCTCCTCCCCCGCCCCCTCATCATTCTTCTGCGCCCTGCCTGTTTCGGCAAGGGCCGCGAATGTGCATTCACTCCAGGGCGTGCCCAGGCTGACCCACGAAATTCAGTTTGACGGCTCCCCCATCAATTTCTCTTCGTTACACGGAATGTTCCCGCACTTCCCTGATCAAGACATTTCGCCTGGGTCCTATTGCTGGGTGGGCCGTGATGGATACGAACAGTAACGAAACCAACTACGCGATCAACCGCGAATGAAACTACACACGCAACTCCCCACAAACATGTTTCGCACGTGGCGTTCATCGTGCAACAACACTTCCACAACGGCAAAAGAGGCGAAGCCTTCCCACAATAAAATCACGACTTCTGAATTCAAGCACACACAGCCCTTCAGGGCAAAAACAACAACAAACCATAATTCTGGATTTCCAAACCATGCCTTCGGACAAAAACGTAATTTTGAATATTACATTTTAGTTGTGCCCCCCAGCCTGGCTGTTAGCGTTTTGGGGTGCCCCCCTTTCCTGTGTAGACGGCCCTCTCACTAAACCATATAGTCATCGTGCTACCATACACGTACAGCCATTGTCTGAGGACGGTGGCGGCCGCGCCAGCGTTGGCGCTCAAGGTTGGAAAGCCACCGGCGGGCAGGAACCAGGGGAAGCTTGAACAATTCCCGCCGATACAATGGGGGCCCATGCCAAGAAACACCCAACTTGCCTCCAGGGTGCCGGTTCCTTGGGTTTGGATGGTTTCGCGATGGGAAGCGCGACGTTCCCACACCAAAAAACAATGGATGCCATGGGGTCTCAGGGTTGGGTTTCTTGTGGAAGGTTTCTTGTGGTCGGGCCCCTACTGTAGGGCACGCCGAATCAGGAACGAGGGGGTCTTCCCTGGCCACGGCGAGCCTCGGCCACGAACATAGGCCCTAGACCTGGATCTGAAGAGCGGCCCGGAAACCAGATATCCTCCTGAGCCCGAAATGGACCACACATCGACGTCTTGAGTGTACATCTACACTGGGTTCCCATGGACCCTATACTGCTGGCGTCTCACCGATGCTTCCGCCGCCTTCCGCTCCCCTTCTGCTGGCCGACCGTTTTGCTTTGGCCGACGGCGAAGCTCCTAGAACTCCCTGTAAAATACTCAGCCTCGGAACAATAAAAACAAGCGAAGAATCCGGCCATGTGTAGTTGTGAATGCCGCGTTGTAGGTACCGCTTTAGGTGGAGCTCTCTGTGGGGCCACGAAGCGCGCGAGGGATGTCCTGCAATGGGTGGGGGAGGGCGAGGCGCATGCGGCCGCGGCCACTGGGGTCTTCGGCCGAGCGTTCGGTGAAGCTCCCTATGGAGACACGCAGCGCTGTAGTGGGCGGGGGAGACACATGCGGCCGCGGCCACTGGAGTCTTCGGCGGAGCTCCCTATGCGGCCACGAAGCGCTGCAGTGGGTGGGGGAGACGCATGCGGCCGCGGCCACTGGAGCGTTCTCGGTGGGGCTCCATCTGGGGACACGAAACGCTGTAATGTGTCGAGAGGCGGATGCGGCATCGGCCGGCCACTTGGGCCTTCGGTGGAGCCCCCTACGGGACCACGATGCTCAAAACTGGGTGGCGCTGACGCATGCGGCCGCGGCCACTGGAACCTTCGGTGGAGCTCCCTGTGGGGCCACGAAGCGCTGTGGTGGGCGGCGGAGGCGCATGCGAATGCCACCTCTTCGGCCTTCGGCGGAGATCCCTATGGGGCCACGAAGCGCTAAACTGGGTTGCGCGGACGCATGCGAACGCTCCTTCTGGGGCTTTCGGCGGAGCTCCCTATGGGGCCACAAAGCGCTGTACTGGGTGGCGCGGACGCATGCTCGTTGCAGCTCCGTATGGGACCACGAAGCGCAACACTGGGTGGCGCGGACGCATGCGAACGCTCCCTCTGGAGCCTTCGATGGAGCCCCCGGTCGCTGTCGTGGGTGGCGCGGACGCATGCGAACGCTCCCTCCGGGGCCTTCGGTGGAGCCCCCAATGGGGCCACAGAACTTTGTAACCGGTGGCGCGGACGCCTGCGAACGGATTTCTGGTGCCTTCGGTGGAACCCCCCATGGGGCCACAAAGCGCTGTACTGAGTGGCGCGGACGCAAGCGAACGTTACCTCTGGGGCCCTCGGTGGAGCTCCCTGTGGGGCCGCGAAGCGTGTGAATGGTGTGCCGAAATGGGCATGCGGAAGGCGGAGGCAAGGAATGTGAGGAGGAGGGCGAGGAGGAGGAGGAGGAGGAGGAGGAGGAGGAGGAATATCGAGTGACGCGGGGCGCTGTCTCTACAAAAAGAGGGCCCAACGCCACAGGATGATTGGGGAAAAGGGGAGGGGGAATAATGGGAAACGAAGACAGTCAACATCGGATTCCCCCCGCGCTGGCCAGCGAGCGGCGTCTGGTACACCCTCTCCCAGGCGGGCTTACGAAGGAAATCAAGCTGGTGGGGATGGCGATCGTTCTGTTTAATGTGTGTAATTAGTTGCTCTTCATGTCTCTCTCTCTCTCTCTCACTCTCTCTCCATCTGTATTCATACATACATATAATATATATATATATATATATATTATCTATATATACTATGTGGTGTACATACGTATACACACATTGCTCTAGCCGAGGGGCGAGTCAGTCATCGTCGAACAACGGTATGGCGCATGGCTGGTGTCGGAGGACAATGAGGAAGTGGAGGAGGCGGAGGAGGAGGGGGCGGAGGAGGAGACGGATGATGATGATGATGATGATGATGATGATGATGATGTGATGATGATGATGATGATGGATGAGGATGCTGATGATGGTGATGATGATGATCAGGAGGAGGAGCGAGGAGGAGGGAGGAGGAGGAGGAGGAGGTGGAGGAGGAGGAGGGTGGAGGAGGAGGAGGAGGGGGAGAGGAGGAGGAGCAGGAGGAGGAAGAGGAGGAAGAGGAGGAGTAGGAGGGGAGGAAGAGAAGGCATAGGACGGAGGAGGGGGGGAGGAGGGACGGAGGAGGACGTTGGAGGAGGAAGGAGGACGAGGAGGAGGAAGAGGAGGAGGAGGCAATAAGGAGGAAGGAGGAGAGTCGGAGGAGGAGAAGGAGGGGGGAGGAGGAGGAGGAGGAGAAAGGAGAGGAGGAGGGAGGAGGAGGGGAGGAGGAGGAGGAGGAGGAATGGGGAGGAGAGGAGGAGGAGGAGGAGGAAAGGGAGGAGGAGGAAAGGGAGGAGGACGAGGAAGAGAAGATCCCCTGGAGCGCAGAGCGCAGGGATAAAGCGGCGACGGAGCTCGGACGGCCGCCCGCCCGCCAAAGCGCGAGCCAGGGCACCACACGGTGCGCGGGGCCTCTCACAGCCTGCTCTTGCCAGCTGCGGCTGGCGCCTGCGGGGGGGCCCTCGCTCCCTGCCTCCCTCCCGCATCCCTCCCTGCACCATTGCCTCCCTGCCTCCTGACCTCCCTCCTTCCCTCCTCCTCCCCTCCTCCTCCCCTTCCTCCCTCCTCTCCTCCTCCTCCATTCTACCTCCTTCCTCCTCCCCCTCCATCTTCCTCCTCCTCCTCCTCTCTCCTCCTTCGCTCCTCCTCTCCCCCCTCCTCCTTTCGCCTCCTCCTCCTCTCCTCCGACCTCCTCCCATCCTCCTTGTCCTTACTCCCTCCCATCATCTTCATCCTCCTCATTTCCTCAACGTCTCTCCTTCCCTTCCTCCCCCTCCCTCCTCTTCCTATGCCTTCTCTTTCCTACCCCTCCGTACTCTCCTCTTCCTCTCCGCTCCTCCTCCGCCTTCCATCTCATCCGTCTCCCCTCCTCCTTTCCCCCCCTCCCCTTCTCCTCCTCCTCCTCTCTCGTTCCTCCTTCCCCTCCTCCTCTTCCTCCTCCTACTCTCATCACCTCCTCCTCTCCTCCTCTCCTCCTCCCCTTCCTCCTCTCCTCCCCTCCTCCTCCTCCCCTCTCGCGAGCGCCCCTCCTCCTCCTGTTCAGTCTCCTCCTCCTCCTGCTCGTCCTCGTCCTCCTCCTCCTCCTCCTCTTCCTCCTCCTCCTCCTCCTCCTCCTCCTGCTCCTGCTCCTCCTAGTCCGCGTCCTCCTCCAGCTCGTCTTCCTCGTCCTCCTCCCGAACGTATTTACAACTACGCACAACAAAACTGCACGTTGTTGCGGGGACCAGGGGTGGCAATCATAATGAAATTTGGCGCGTCGGTCGGTCTGGGTGGACGGATGCCGCCTCGCGACCTACGATGGCAGGCGATGGTCGTGCCGACGACGTTGCGTGCCAAGCGTGGAAGCGATCACCACGTTTCACGGCGAGGCGTGGCGGCAACCGTAAGAACACTCATAACGCGAACAAGCGCTTCACCCTCGGACGGGGGATCCGGCGCGAAGAAGGACTCGAGAGCGCGGGGGGTCGGATCGCGGATTTGCTGCTGGGGCACAGGCGGGGGGGGGGCAGCGGGCTGCGCGAGGTCGCGGCCCCCAGGCATGCGGCTGGTTTCGCTGAGCCAGGGGGTGTGGGATGTCGGCGGGAAGCGGCCCAGGGGGCGGGGCCTCGGCGATGGGCAGCGCGGGCAGCGGATGCTTCGCGCAAAAGGGACACGTACATAACGGCACTTCACGGCCGGGGCGCGGTACACGTTGGGGGCGCGAGAAGCGGCGCCCGACATGCGCCCCGCCCCGCTGGCTAGGTGTAGTTCTATCGGTGCTCCGTTCTACGGGGATGTCTCCGGCGAAGCCAGCGCGTGCAGAACTACACCTAGTGCCTGGCTAAAAGTAATTCTGAACGTGCTGGATGATATGTCTCGCGCGGGGCGATCACGTACAGACCGGCACCTAGCGAAAGGGGCGGGGCCCAGGTCGGGTGCGTCGTCGCGCCCCGCCCGCAGAGTCAGGAAGGCAAGGGCCACAGAACCCCCTGCCGGCCTCCGGGCGGGGGTGTCTGAACGTCCCAGGGCTATCCGAAGGAATTCCAACTGCGGCCTCCGCCCATATCGCTCCCCCTATCAGAGCATCTCGCCTGGTCACTATGTTCCCCATTCCCGCCCGCTGCTTTGCCCTCCTCCTCCTCCTCCTCCCCCCTTCTTCCTCTACCTCCCGCCCTCCATTGCCCTGAGCGTTTCCCAATTGCCCCAGGCCCCTGCGTGGCGGCAAACGCCCGCGCCCCTCGCAGCTGAAATACTCACCTTGCGCTCACCTCCGATCCACTCGTGAGGCGCAAGTCTTGGTTCCACACTGTCACTGGCAAGCGACGTCGAAGCCATGGCAAATCTGACGGCGCGATCGGCCCCCTCGAATGGCGGGCGAACCAATACGTAAGACGATGTCGCAAAAAGTAATTTTGGAATTCAGGGATCCGCTCAAAAAAACTAATCTACTCGCCCAAAGTGTAATTCTGCGACTCTCCGATCCTCGTCTTCCTCGTCCTCCTCGTCCTCCCTCCTTCCTCCCCGTGCTCCTCCTCGTCGTCCTCCTCCTCGTTTTTCGTCTGCCTCCTCCTCCTTCCCTCCTCCTCCCTCTCCCCCTCCTCCCCCTCCTCCTCCTCCTCCTCCTCCTCCTTCTCCTCCTGCTCCGCCTCCTAGTCGTCGTCGTCGTCCTCGTCATCGCCCTCGTCCTTGTCTTCGTCTTCGTCCTCGCTTTCGTCGTCGTCCTCCTCCTCCTCCTCCTCGTTCTCCTCCTCCTTGACTTGCTCGTCCTCCTCCATTCTTTTTCCGTATGAATAGCTTTTCCCTGTCGCACCCCGAGATCAGTTTTTAGGGTGGTCTGCGCGTTTCGCCTGATACTTCTTCGCCATCTATGACGCAGAAGCGTAAACATTGTCAACAGTTTCGCAGATGGAGGGCGGGTGGTTTTCAAAATGTGGCTCTCGCATTAGCGCATCGTGCTTTCGTTGTAAAGTGTTGCAACAGATTCGCTGATTGAATGCGGGTGGTTTTCACAATGTGCTTCTCGCCTCAACGACGCGCACATTCGTTTTAGACATGTGGTAAGAACTGCACGATTTGACGACGGGTGGTTTTCAATCTGTGGCCCTCGCCATAGCGCAACGCAGATTCGTTTTAAACCGTTGCAAGGGCTTCACGGATCGAGGGCGGTTCCTCGCCTTAGCGCCGCGCGCATTCTTTTTAAAGCTTTGCAGGAGCTTCACGGATTGAGGGCGGCTCCGTTTCAAAATGTGGTTCTCGCCTCATCGCTGTGCACATTCGATTAAGTATGTGCAAGAGATCCACGGATTCCCATGATCAGCGTACAAAAAAGAGGCGTTTTGGAAAGACCCGGAATTATGAAAGCACAACAATTACGTTGATTCGCGGTGTTGAAATGCCAGGGATGGCGTTCCGGCGCGGTTCAGGATCGTCAAGACGCAACCATCAGGCCGATCCGTGGCGTTGGAATTGTTGTCTTCCAGCGGGGCAGTCCCCTCGGTGGAGATGAAGCCTTGTATGGGCCCTTGAAGAGGGAGCTTGGAGGGAGGGTTGATTCCAACATCGTGGATGACTCTTGGATTTACACTGGTCATCCTCCTCCTCCTCCTCTTCCTCCTCTTCCTCCCTCCAAGTTTCTCCCACCTCCCTCCCCTTCTTCCTCATCCTCCTCCCCCTCCTCTTCCCCCCCCTCCTCTAACTGCTCCTCCTCCGCCTCCTCCTCCCTCGTTCCCTCTTCCCTCCCTCCTCCTCCTCCTCCTCCTCCTGATCCCCCGCCTGATCCTCCTCTTGATCCTCCTCCTCCTCCTCCTGATCCTCCTCCTGGTCCTCCTCCTGATCCTCCTCCTCCTCCTCCTCTTCCTCCTCCTCCTTCTCCTCCTTCTCCTCCTCCCTCCTCCCCCTCCTCCTTCTCCTCCTCATCCTCCTCCTTGTCCTCCTCCTCCTCCTCCTTTCCCCTTTCCTGTTTCCAGTTTCCAGTCTGCACCGAAGGATCCGCAGTCCACAGAAGGCAGAATCTTCTGCAACATAAAAGAGGAAGAGAGGAGGGAGGGACCCTGGCCAAGCCAGGGGAGGGCACGAGCTACACGGCTTGTCGTCCATACAGCCGTGTGCTGCGCCCAAACAAGTGTCGTCTGGCACTCGGGTCGCGGCTTCCTTGAGAAAAAGCCAGAGACTGCGCAGCAGCATCGTTGCGTGGCCGCCCCAGGCAGGGGGCCAATAACAAGTGCATGCGCTGCCTCGCAAACGCACCGCAACTCGAGCACCAGACGATGGGGAGGGGAGCTCCAGGATCCCCCGCCCGCAGTCTATGAGACGGGTGGGCGCTACGCGCCACTCGAGGCCATCCCGGACACCTGTAGCTAGCCAGGGATGAGTACCTCCGTCCTGCATCCATGCATCTGGCGCACAAATAGCCTTTACCCCATCTTAGGATAATGTGACCGTTCGGCCCAGGAACCAAAACTAGGCCGCTGCTCGGCCTGCACTTACGAGCGACCACATTAGTAGTATCCCGTATGGACGGCCCACACACGTGTTCCAACATACTCGCTGTGAACCTACCGAGGGCGCCTATATTCTGTCTCTGCTGACTGTACCGCTCTAGCAGGCTTTGGGGGTGCGAAATCCCGGCAGCAGCTCTCTAGGCCGCCAGATCCGCGACTCTGTTCCCCCTCCGAGCCCAGTAGGGAACCTCCGTGCCCGCCAGAGCTGGCCAGCTCTTGCGCGCAGGCACCTTCCTGACTCGTACCAGGTCCGTGCCTTGATCGCGACGCCGACTGCAAAGTTCAACCCAGAATCCTCCATGCGGAATGGCAACTGTGTCGACGTCCACTCCTTGGTTTCAGACCTTCAACGCAGACTCGCAATCCGAAGCAACCTCGCACTCGTCTGGACCCAAGATGCGGATATACATTAAACTACAAAGACTTCAGCACCATGAATCGTGTGGATGCCGTGCTCGAGCGGGCCGCTCGCCGACGCTACAACTGCGCCAGCATCGTCGACAACCGCGAGCGCCCACGCCGCCCTCGTGAAGAGGGGCACCTCAGGGTCAAGAGCCGACCCGCCCACGCAAACCTTGCCAGGGATCCAGCCGTGACGAGGGGGGATCGCCCAGCGCCAAGGGCTGACACCGCGGAGCCTGGGCGTGTACACAACCGCAGACGGGGCCAGGCATCTAGACAACAGGGGGTCACCAGGGCTGCCTCTAGCCCAAGACCTCAAAATGCTAGCGCAGCCCAGGCTCCGCCTGCAGGACGCGCGCGCGCCGCAACAAACCAAGCGATGGTGGCGGGGGCCTCGAGCGTAGCAGAGCTGGCAACGCTCGTCCAGCACCTGTCTGTCGTGGAAAAGCTCCGCTTGCGGGGCCAGTCGAGCGCAATCCCGCCTGCAGCGCCTGTCCCGACGACCTCAGGCTAGAACATACCGCTGCCACTGCATCTAAAGCTGGCCTAGAGAAGCTCCGACTATCG